TTTTTTTTTCAAGGAAAAAATTTTGCTCGTCAGACGAATAAAATATAATTCGTAAGAAGGTACGTGCGAACCGGTTTGCGGTGAATTTGTTTTGTTAAACTTAGGCACGGAGCGTTGAAACGTGCGAGTTTCTAAATATTGTCGGTATATCTGTGAACGTATGTTCATACATTGCATACGTGTTGACGTAACGGACGAGTGTTCGTTGTTCAGTTAAAAACAAAATTTTGATATCGTATCGTCTGTTGTATTAAAACGTGGATTAACATGTAATAAATTAGTGTGAATTTGGTCAAATTAGTACGTAGTTGGAAACAACTACCAAAATGACATAAGTTCATCTATTATGTGTACACGTATGTCTTCAACCTCGTTCAATTTTTCTTGCAATCTGCACGAGCAATTCGCGGAATCGAATTAATTTCTCAACTCTGTTCTCTTATGCGAGAAGCATTTGAAAAATTATCACTCGTCCGAATCGATCCGTGCAGACGTGTGTTGCTTCGTTTGCATGGAAAACGAAGAAGAAGAAGAAGAAGAAGAAGAAAAGGAGAACTCGCCGCGAACCAGATTCGTCAGCGTACCGGGCCAAAGGAACAAGAGAACGATAAATACTTGAGGCATGATGGATGTGTCGGCGACTCGCAACCCTTTGATACCGTGCACTCTGAGTCGTGGATCCACAACGGCCATTGAGTCGGACGATGGACCCATTTTACAGGAGCCTGCCTGATGATTCTCCGGGCCGGTGTCCTGGCGCACAGCGCAGCTCCAGTAATCGTTGCTTAGGAACGGGTACTGCGAGCAAGCTTGCAGAGGGTGGTTGCTCAGCGTCATATTATATTTCGCCATGGCGGTAGTATTACTGAACGACAAGGCTATCTGAATTCCCTCGACGAGGATGGCAACGTCCAACGGATCGGTCAGATAGTTCCCTTGGATCACAGGTTTCGCGAGAGGATCGTTGCTAGCCAAGCGGAGAACTCCTGAAAGAGACGAACAGATTTGCTTCTTGTCACAGTGTTGCATCGTGATTCGATGGGAGCTGGATCGATGACAATCGCTATGATACAGACATCGGCTTCAATCAAACTTTGCAGTTTCGCGACTTAGAAAAATAAATTTCTCTTTCCTATCGTTTGATAATGGAAAATAAATTCTTTATTTGTGTCTTTAAACATCGGGAGTGTAGCTCTCATCCGTCGGGATGACACATATCACATTTTACTACTGAAAGCTACGCGGATAACGTTGAACCAGGCATTCCTCTTGTTCTTATGACGTTCTGACTGCTTTCTCTCTGAAGCTCTCAACTGTACGTAAACTTTTAACACGTTCGCCGCTTTTGTTCGCAGGAGAAGTCGCTCTGCACGGCCCAAGTATTAAATTTTCAAAGTTTCACGAAACACGATATGTATTTTTACATGTGCCAAATTATCCAAATGTTCCGAATGGACGATTCAAGTGTCACACTCGACAAATGACGCCAAAACGTGACATTTATAAAATGAATAAACTACTAATGTTCGTAACATTAATAAAATAATAAAAATAGATATTTTCAATAAAACAAGTAGAAATTTTCGAAAGAACGAAGAAACGTAAATAAAAGCATATTTAGCAGCAATATTTAGTGAAATACAAACAATCAAGAAAAAATGTGTGAAAAATGACAGCAGAATGGACAAAGTACACAGACATAATTGTAAAGAAAACATCCTCGATCAAATCAAATTATTCGTCTAATCGAAAATTAAAGTACGCAACTTGCTGCGTAAAGCTTGGCAGCGAACGTATAAATCAGTTTTATATCGACGTGAGATCTGGGGGAGGAAGCTCGAAAAGAAGTACCTCTGCTACGCGGTCGAATATTCGTCGGCGATATGCTTATGCTACGACGGCCGTCGTCCATGAGGGCTCCGATCTCTCCAGTGGTGGCGCACGACGCCTGATACCCGCCGAAAAAGAACTGAAGATCGGGGTGATCGGCGGTGGTGTAAGGGGACGACAGGATCCCGGTTAATTGGGACAGGCCGGTTGACGCCATTCTTCCTCTCTGAAACGCGACGTACTCCAACGCTGCCGCCCAATTCAGGTCGAACTCGTCCGGCTGATTTATCGTCCAGGACAACGTGTACGACACGTGATTCTGTAGATTCTTGCCGACTCCTGGGGGACGCACGATATCGTAAATACGCCCGGCTCGGGGCAATATCGTTCGTGAATTATTATCGCTCACCTGGAAGATCTTCAACGACGCTCACGTTCACGGCCGTCAGATGCTCCTTCGGCCCGATCCCGGAGAGCAGCAACAGCTGAGGGGAGTTGACAGCGCCGCCGGAGACGATTATCTCGCGCGAAGCTCGCGCCATTCGGAGCTCGCCGCCCTGAAAACGATTTAGGGGGAACGATCGTCAATTGATATAAAAAGTTATTCCGTTTGGAAGTTCAAAGATGTTAGCTCTATCCGAATCTTTCTTTTTGTCATCCATGCGTCTTTGGGAACGATTGTGCCCTAATAACCTTTGCACTGCCGAATTCCATATAATCGAAATACAGCGTGCAATAACTGTCACCGTTAAAAAATAGCCGTGAATCAGAAGAATATCAGAAAGAATCATTAAGATTATAATCGTACGCTGTTAACAATGTATAATTTGGAAGATAACGCCGTATGAAAAATCGAAATAAACGTGGCTAAAATTAATGAGACGAACGAGCACGGATCGTAAATTTAGTTTGCGTAGAGTTCAAAGAATTAATAGATTCAAAGAGTTAATTAAATCAACAATTGTAAATAATTTAGAGAAAAGGGAAATAACCGTGAAGAATATCAAAAAGTCTGAATCATTAAGATAATCGTACGTTGTTAATAATATAAAATTTGAAAGATAACGCAGTATGAAAAATTGAAATAAACGTGGCTAAAATTAATGAGACGAACGAGCACGGATCGTAAATTTAGTTTGCGTAGAGTTCAAAGAATTAATAGATTCAAAGAGTTAATTAAATCAACAATTGTAAATAATTCAGAGAAAAGGGAAATAACCGTGAAGAATATCAAAAAGTCTGAATCATTAAGCAGATTACAGTCGTACATCGTTAACAATGTAAAATTTGAAAGATAACGCAGTATGAAAAATCGAAACAATGGCTGACTAAAATTAATGACACGAAAGAGCACGGATCGTAAATTCAGTTTGCGAAGAATTCAAAGAGTTGGACTGAAAGAAATAATTAATTCAACGATTGCAAAGACTTCAGAGAATTGATAGAGCAAGGGAGACCAGATTGCGTTCAAATACGTATTGACGAACGAAAAATTACAAATTACAAATATGATGAAAATCAAACAAAATTATAAACACACATTTACTCTCCGTAGATGGAGAGATTTTTATTTCCGTGCTTTGCAAGCAAGTGAAAAACACGAGGCAATTTAAATGCACGTCTGCCCGTGTATTCGAGTATCTGCAAAGTCCAAACTTTCGCCGATCATCAAACCCGTTATTAAACCGAAAAGTTACAGGAATTCAGCTGCATAATTACACGCGCAGCCGTAAAGCGAAGTACCGCGTGTTATAAAATTGAAAAGTAACAATTTCGTTGAGCGAACGTTGTCGTGGAAATGATTGGAAAAGCCCCGATACGTAATATCACGCCGATACGTAATATTGCTAATTATCGTTTCGAAGGTAACGAGCGAAGCAAGCTATCGTGTGATACGATGCGAACGAGTATGCAAACGAGTGAAACATCACTAACTTTGTGATACTGAACGCCGACTGCCTTGCCGTTCTCTATAATGATTCTCGTGGCGGTGGCGTTCAGGACGACCTGAAGGTTCTGCCTGTAACGGTAAGGTCGAAGGAAAGCGGCCGCGCTGCTTTGTCTAACACCGTTCTTGCTCATCATTTGAGCGATCGTGAACCCTGTGATCTGATCGCCGTTATGGTCCCTCGTGATCGGATATCCTCTCTCGGCGGCGGCTGCCAGGATGTCCTCGGAGATGTCGGGCCTCCAGGAGAACCTCTCGACGTTGAGCAACCCGCCGGTTGCGTGATACTTCCGTCCAACGCGATTGATCTCCGTGTTGTTCTCCGAGCACATGAAATACGGCAAGACCTATTGCAGAGCAGAGAGAGAGAGAGAGAGAGAGAGATAGAGAAATAAAAAAAGTATGTCGCGCTACGTTTCCTGTAGATCGTTATCAGACTGACGGATTATTGGTAAATAACTCTCGTTAACTACACGCGATATATACATACGATTTTCGCAATCGTTTCCAGAAGCACGCCGATGTACTTGCGTGCGCTATCTGTTTAGCCTGCACGTTTCGTATGCATTATCGGTCAACGGTTCTACGTGGCAGTGTACGTACGTCATCGGTACACACACTGATAATGCAGGAGAAACGAAAGTGTTTGTTATTGTGACGTGACTAAAATATATATATATACACACACACACATATACACAGAAGTTAATATTTGTATAACGAAATATTAACGCAGGTCAACATAGTTTGAATATATGAAGGTTACTAGATTACTAGTGTACACCCTGGTGAAAGGTTTTCGATCAGACGCGGTTATTCGAAATTCTCTTTTTACGAGACAATTCAATTGGCACGATTCTATGTATTTCAAATTTTACAGATTTCAATATTTTTAAATACGCTCGAGTATTTGCGTTTGATCGACAACTTTTTTTGCCAAGAGTAGTATATAGATGTTACAGCTGGTGCAGACAGACAGTGTGTAGAAAATGAACACGTTTGTCAAAATATGCAGGAACGAATATAATATTTAAACCACCAAACTGTACAATATAATATAATAAACCTCTTGTGTTTTCTTTTGATTTTACAAATTTGCAAATCATCGTATTATATTACTCTTAGGCTAGGTTTGAATTAGAGATGATACTCCGATTATTTGGCAATAATTAAGACGACAAAAATAAAGTCACGTTTGAAACAACGCAACTACTCTAATCGTAGAATTTCTCCCGATCATTCTTTTTTCTTCATTCAAAATCAATTCGAAATTAACTGTGCTGTTAGAAGCTGCAAATTTCTACGTTCTAGTAGATCACATTAGGAAAGACTACTAAATCACTTTGCTCTTCTGTATACATAATTCAAAAGGACTAATACATATGGGGAGAGTTTTGACAAAAGGAGTTTGTTTAATATTCTTCTAATCTGATAATTAACATTGTATCGCGTCGAGCTACAGTTTGCTGGATTTTCTTTTTATACTTTGTCAATTGGTTTGTCAATTGGTTTATTTTTTTACGTCAAGATCCATTAACTCTAGAACTACCGACGGCTGAAGCACAAAATTCCTGTAAGAACTTTTATTTATATATCTCACGAAGAATCATTTAAATCTCTAAAAATACATTGTTTTCAAAAGTTCTAACAAAAATTACAAATTGGCGTTAAACTACCAAAAATATATTAATCCCAGAAATTTATTTAGAAAGCATCATCACTTCGAATAAAATGACGTAGCATTTATAGGAAATAATCATTCAAATGGTATTTAACACGAAATTTTGTTGACTGTATCTTTCTAACATGTGATATCGTTTAAAATTTAAAGTAGTCATTAACAATAGCGGAGCAAGTATAATATACAAAAGTTAATGATACATAGTTTCAATCTTTGGAAAAATAATATCCTCCGCCATTAAAAGTAATAAGAAGTCTAGTTTATGTGAATTATATTCCGAATTGTGTGAA